CCCCATAAAAAACCCCCAACAAACAACCCCCCCCCAAGTTTTGGAATCTTATTCTGCTTTAATAAAGTTTTCAAAACTTTTTCCTTCTAAAAAAAAAAAGGGGAGGTGGGGAAGAGTTTGGAAAACTGGGTTTTTTGTCTTTAAGAAAAATAAAAGTGGGGTGAGGTGTTGGAACCTGGATTTTCTGCTAAAAGGAAACCCAAAGAGTTTGGAAAATTTCCCCTCCCTTAAAGCTTCCCCCTCGTAAAACTTCCCTCCTCCCCTAAAAACACCACTAGAAAGTTTTCAAAATGTTTTCCTTCTCAAAGAACAAACAACAAAAAAACAACCCAAAAAGCTGCTTTGGAAAGTTTTTTTTCCTTCTCCAAACCCAATGACTCTAATCAGGATCAGAGAGCATCATCATCAGGGATCCTGGTTTTCTCTGATAAAAAAAAAATCCCCAATTTTTTAATGTAAAGAAGGAACCCAAAATCCACATTTTTTCATGATTAAAATGAAACACCACTATAGATATTCTAATATTATAAAAGCTTTAGTTCTGGGGTGGGCAAAATGCAGCCCACGAGTCAGATGCGGGCCACCAAGCCATTCTATCTGGCCCTCAGGACCCCTAAAAAATTTAGAAAAGTAATAATTATCTGCCCCTGGCTGCCTGTCATGTGGCCCTCAATGGCTTGCCAAAAACTCCCCCCAAAATAATTGCCTGCCCCTGCCCTAGTCTGTCTGTCTGTCCATAACGCTTTATTTGCACTCTGATCGACTGTCTCGACAGCCAATCAGAGTGCCCTACACAGACAGAGACAGACAGCGGAGACTGGGGCGCCGGAGGGGAGGGGGTGAGGCCAGCAGAGCCAGCTGCACCCCCCTCCCCTGCTCCTTGGAGCCAGGGGCTGGTGCCCCCCCAACAACAGCTACCAGGGAGGGGAGACGGCAGGGAACAGGGGAGGGAGGGGAGCAAGAAGCGCACTCCCCCCACAATCATTCTTGACAGGCAGTTTGCTAGTATCTCTATATTAGTGGTGTTTCATTTTAATGATGGGAAAATGTGAATTTGGGGTTCCTTTTTTTAACCCAAAAATTGGGGATTTGTTTTTTAATCAGAGAAAACCAAGATTTCTGATTATCATATTAATATTTCTTTTATACATATATAATTATTATGTATATTACTAGCCAATTGCCTGTCAGGAATCATGGGAGGGGTGGGGCAGAGAAAAAGCACTGACCCCTGACAACCCCACCCCCCTCCCTGCCACTACCATCTCCCAGGAAGGGGGGTGGGGGGTTGCCCCGCTGTCCCTTCCCTCCCCCTATATTTATAATATTAGAATTAGCATATTATTAATTTATACATATTATTATAAATATTATCATATATTATGTTTATATAATTATATATTGTATTTTTTTACATATATAAATATTTCATATAGTATCATATTATTGTTGTATAAAGATATATGGGTATTTATAGATAGATAGAAAGATAGATAGATAGATATAATCATTATTATATATATTATTCTCACATCATTGTCATTGCTATATAAGTGCAGCAACACCAAGCGATGGTGACACAAGTGACAAAAGGAGCAGCCACAGCCACAGAGCTGGCAGGGTAACAAGAAGGGCAGTAACGATGACAAATACAGTGAGGACAATGGCACAATTGCTAATGACATCCGTAGCTGTCGTTAGGACGAAGTCATCCCCAAAAACAGAGGGACCCAGGCTCGGAACCAGCGATTCCCCCCTGGGCCGCAAGGAGGCAGCTGTTCCAAAGGCCCGCCCATCAGCACTATGACCTCAGACCTCTGACCTCACTGTGACCGCCCCGCCATGACCCCGAGGGCTCTGGCCTTGGCCACGCTGCTGGCGCTGACCCCAGCCCAGGCCCTGCTATGTCCCCGTGGCCGCCCCTGCACAGTGCCCGCCATCTCTCTCAACCCCGTGACACTGCCCTGCCCAGGTGGGCCGGGCACCGTGACCTGGCTCCGCACCTCCCCCCTGCGCCTGCTGCGGCTCTCAGGGGGCACCTGCCTGCTCCCAGGGGGTGCCCTGCGCCTGGCAGCACCCTGGCCCAGAGACTCGGGGGTCTACACCTGTCGCCGTGGTGATGTCACTGTGGCTTACTACGACCTGGCTGTGCAGGACGTGGAGCAGCTGCACGTGAGCCACGTGGGGCGTGGGCAGGTGCCGCTTGGCCCCCGCGGGCCCCTCTTCACAGCCTGGACTCCCTGGCAGGCCTGCGACCGCTGTGGGGTGCCCGGCGAACGCAAGCAGGTGGGCTTCTGCTACACCACCCAGCCCAGGGGGCTGCCCCGGCCCTGTGGCCTGGCAGGGGCATCGCACCCTCCCCGCGGCCCTGAGCTACGGGTCAAGGGCTGCTGGGTGCCCTGCAAGGGGCGCTGGGGTGGCGGCGAGCCCAGGCAGGCCCCGCAGCTCCTCCTCACCCACTACCCACTGCACCCAGCGGGGGAGACCCAGCTGCGCTGCCCAGCAGCCTCCATCTACAGGTAGACCCCGCCCCCAGGGGGTATCTGCCCAGAGCCCCACCCACTCCCTGACCCAGCTCCGCCCCAGGGGGGTTTCTGCCCCAGAGCCCTGCCCACTCCCTGCCCTAGCTCTGCCCTCCAGGCCCAGCTGGTTAATCATTGGCTGCAGCCCTGGATTTCAACCCCTGGTGGCACCAGGGCTGGTCCCGTGCCCGAGTCAGGGACTGGGGTGGGACACAGTCGTCCAGGCAGCCCTATGCCCGACCCAGGGAGCAAGGTGGGACCCAGGCATCCTTGTGACCCCGTTCCCGACCCAGGGAGCAGGGCTGGGACCCAGGAGTCTGGACAGCCTCATGCCTGAGCCAGGGAGTGGGGGTGGGCTCCAGGGGTCTTCATGGCATTGACCCCGCTTATGTCCCTGCAGCCCCGTGGCATGGCAGGCCGGCACCACGGCCCTGAACCGCCTGCAGGCTGGCGCCGGGGCCCCCCGGCTGGACAAGGCATCAGGGGGCGCGGTGCTGGTGCTGCCCCCTGGTGCCACCCCGGGCACCTACCACTGCTATGTGGGGGGCCGCCTGGCTGCCCTCTTCTGGCTGGGCCCAGCCCTGGCCCCCACACCTGCCCGTGGCGCTGCTCGCGCCTATGGGGCCATCGAGGCGGCAGTGGTGGGGCTGGCACTGTTTCTCGTTGCCCTCCTTGTCCTGGGGTTGCTGGAGGCCTGTCGGCGCCGCCCCGGGGCCCTTGGCACCTAAGCAATAAAGAATGTACAGCTCTGAGTGCGGGGACCCGTGTCAAGTGGACGGTGCGAAGGGGCCCCTACAAACCTCCAGTTCCCGCCCCTCAGGTCCCCAGGCCCCTCCCACACCTGGAAAGGACCCAGGTACCTCCCAGATCCAAGCTCCCAGCACCCCCTGCTCACCCCCCAGCTCTCACTGCCCCTCAAAATCTCCCAGCCCCTCCACCCACCTCTGCCCACCCCCCAGGCCCGAGCAGAGCAGGGAGAGAACCCAGGCGTCCGGAGGTGGCATCCGTGGCGGGGGAGGGGGGGCCGCACAATGGGCCAATTCTTGGCCCTGCACAGCCGGGCCTTTGTGCTGGGGCTGACACCAGGCGGGCAAGCTCACTAGCGTGTGCAAGAAACGCCACTCCCCCCACCCCAGCCGATCCCACTGCCCCCCAAAAGCTGGAGAGAACCCAGGCATCCGGGCTCCCAGCCCACACAGGACCCCCTCAAACTCACCTGGGGGTGCTCACCATGCCCACATGTACCACGACCCTTTGCACGAGGGGCCTGTCCCAGCGTGCAAGGAAGGCCCTGCCGAAGCCCTCCAATCCTGGCTGGCATGCGAAGGAGCCCTGGAGCCTTGTCCCAGCCTCCACATGGCCACCAAGTGTTCAACCCAACCGTTATGTAAAGCCCCCTCCCCTGCCCCTGGCTCCAGTCTGTGCACGAGGATGCCACCCCGCAGTGCCTGAGCCCCTGCCCCTGGGGAGGGATTGGGGCTCACAATGCGCCCAGCTCTGGGGGAGGAGCAGGTGAGGAGCCCACAGTAATGCCAGCCCTGGGGATGTGTCCCTGGCCCCATCCCACCCAGCCAGTTGGGGGGGAGGAGGGGAGAATGGGGGGTCTGGGGGCGGGGCCTGAGGGGGCGGAGCTAGGTGGCCCCTCCCCTTCCCTGCCCCCCCACAGTGGGTATATAATCCCTGCCCCCGGGGGAGCCACAGAGGGCCCTCGTGTCCCCCACCTACACCGGACAGCAGCTGGTACAGCCTGGACCCCCCAGAGGCAAGTAGGACTCCCAGGGCACTGGGGCCCGGACACCTGGGATCTCTGGGGGGAACTGGGGGCGGTGTTGATAGGGGCCCGGACACCTGGGTTCTCTAGAAGGGAAATGGGGGGGTTGACAGCTCGACCCCCTCCTTTGTTTCTGCAGCCCCCCGCCCCCCCCGCTCCTGGGTTAATGAACACTGCTGGGTCCTTTTTTAACATCTGACTACTAATTATTTGCAAGGGACCCAGGCTCTAAAGGGTTAATGGGGGAGATAATACTTCATGACTGCCCCCCATGAATTATACCCCTCCCCCAACACATGAAGTCCTGGATTCTAATAAGTGAAGTTAATTAAAATTCAGAATTAGCCTCATTAGTGTGCAGCCCAGCCAGTAAGGGGTTAACAGAGCTGGCAAGTCGATCCCCATTTAGGCTTGGGGTGACATGACCCTGGGTGACAAGCAATCCGATTAATTACAATCCCGTTATAAGGACTCATTAGCACACACCCCTCATTAGCCTATGCAAATCAGAGCCAGGTAAGAGGCTTTTTTCTGCCTGTGAGGTCTTGCAGCCTGGGGCAGGAAGGGTTAATGAGACCTTGCTGTGGGTGAACTAATGGAGTGATGCTATTAACAGCTTGAGCTGGGGGTCAACAGGTTAAATTTGCATCCATTAGCATCCACTTCCCTGCAGGTGGCAGCCAGGGGAGGGTTAAAAGGACTTCTGGGCACTAATGAGCCAAAAGGGTTAATTAATGAGCTCATCAGCTATTCATAATAATTAGTAAGGGGTGGGGCTGGGGTAGGAGCCACCCTGGGGCAGGGAGGCCAAACGGGGGCTGCTTCCCACCACAGCCAGACACATCTCCCCTCCCAGGGCCTGGTTATATATGGCCGTTCCCAAACTCCCCCCCTCCCCCCAAGAGCCAGCTGCCTCTCACCCAGGGCTCTGTTCTGCTCCGCTGTTCCCAGTGGCTCCACCCCAGAGCTGGCTGCATCGTCCCGGGGCTGGGGTGTCCCAGGCGCCATCCTGGTCACCTCGAGGCAGGAGCCTGTAGGAGGAATTTGGGGTCATCCCCCAGCCCCACTGGTGCCCCTCACTCCTGACCGACAGCCCCTGACCCCCCAGCCCTGCCAGTGCCCCTCACTCCTGACCCACAGCCCCCTGCTCACCCAGCCCTGCTGGTACCCCTCACTCCCAACCTGCAACCCCTTGCCACCCCCGCCCCCCCCAGCCAGGCTGGTGCCCCTCACTCCCAACCTTCAGCCCCTCCCAGGCAGTGACGTCAGGGGGCTGTTATCAGCAGTGCCAAGACAATCAGCTCTGTTGTGGGGGGGGCGGGGGGGAGTGGCACTGCCAGGCTGTGCCCAGAGCAGCTGCATGGAGCCTGGCACCCCGAGGACCGGCAGGCCCCACTGCCCTCTTGAGGGGGAAGAGAACCCAGGCATCCGGGCTCCCAGAGCACATCCTTGAATTGGAAAGGGAGTGGGGGGGCAGGGCAGAGGGTGAGAACAGGGGGGCTGGGAGCTCAGACGCCTGGGTTCTCTCCAGCTCTGGGCGGGGAGTGGGGTCTGGGGGAGTTGGAGGGGTGGGAGCTGGCACCCTGGGCCCCTAGGTTCTCTCTCCAGAGTATGGGGTATTGCAGGTGTGGGAGAATGGATGGACCCCATGGAGGAACCAGGGCTAGACCCGTTCCCCCATGGGGGGGTGGAAATTACCATGGCAACGCCAGGCTTCCTTCCTGGGCTCCATCTGGTTCCCGTGGTGATACATCCCAGATCCTCTGTGTACCATCCCACCCCCCCAACCTGTCCAGGATCAGGCCCATGACTCATCGCTGCAGCAGCACTCGCCCACTCTGGGGTGCAGCTGGCTCTTGGTGGGGTTGTGGGGGTTGCTCTGGGGAGGAACAGCAGGAAACAGAATGGGCATGAGGAAGGGGCCCCAGCCCCAGGCTCCTAGAATAGGTGTGGGAAAGGGGCCCCAGCACTGAAATGCAGCCAGCTTTGCGGGGGGAAGACATGGAGGAACAGCTGCCTCTACCATGCCTGCAGAGGTCTTACCTGGCACGGAGATGCAGCCAGCTCTGGGGTGGAGCAGTGGAGAACAGCCACATATAGCATCCTTGGGTAGAGATGCAGACCACTCTGGTGTGGAGCAGCAGCACACAATGCAGCCGGGGCTGGGCTCACTGGGTGCTGAGATGCAGCTGGTTCTGGGGTAAAACAGCCACATATAGCACGGGAGTCATAGATTCATAGATGTTAGGGTCGGAAGGGACCTCAACAGATCATTGAGTCCGACCCCCTGCCTAGGCAGGGAAGAGTGCTGGGGTCAAATGACCCCAGCCAGATGCCTATCCAGCCTTCTCTTAAAGACCCCCAGGGCAGGGGCGAGCACCACCTCCCTTGGAAGCCCGTTCCAGATTCTGGCAACCCTTACTGTGAAGAAGTTTTTCCTGATGTCTAGCCCAAATCTGCTCTCTGTCAGTTTGTGACCATTGTTCTCTGTCAGCCCACACTGTGCTACGGCCAGCTCTGGGGTGGGGGCTCTGGGAACAGCTGCATATAACATGCCCAGAGAGGGCTCACCTGGTACAGAGATGCAGCCAGCTCTGGGGTGGGGCAACAGCTGAGTATAACACTGCATGGAGTGAGGAGGGGATACAGTCAGCTCTGGGGTGGGCCACGGCCTAGCCTGCTCCACCCCAGAGGCAGCTGCACGGCCAGCCCCAGCACCCAGCTCCGGAAGGGAGCGCTGGACTGTGGCCCCTTTGTGGTGGGGGGAGCGAGTTGGCAGCGCCTGGCACGCCAGGAATGCTCTGGGGAAGGAATCCGTGAGGGATGGGACAAGGGACGGGGTCCTGGCTGGGGAAACGCAGGCCCAGCCGCTGTCTGCCGGGGACAGCGTCCAGGCTCACAGGACCCCCTAGCTCTAAGACCCCAGCCCCCACTTCCCAGACCCGGAGAAAACCCAGGTGTCCGGGCTCACAGGCCCCTGCTCTCACCCCCCAGCGCCTGCCCCCATCTTGGGCTCCCCGCTCAGTGCTCTGCCCCCCCCCACCAGCTCCCCTCCCCTCCCCAAGAGGGGAGGGGACCCATCCATGGCTGCTGCCACCCCCGGGAGGCAGGCACCGGCAGCAGCCAATGGCGCGTGGCATCCACGGGTGGGCACCATGGGCTCCCCCCACAGTCCTGGCATCCCCTCCCCGGGCACCCAGCTTGCCCTGCCCTGCCCTGCCTGGCCTCGGAGCGGAGCGGAGCCCACCACGGACCAGCCGGTACCCCCTGCCCCACGGGCCCCCCGTCCTGAGGACCCCCGCAGGGAGGGGAGGGGGAGCTGGGTTTCACCCCACAGCTAGGAGGGAACCCAGGTGTCCGGGCTCCCAGTCACCCCTGTGGTAACCCCCGAGACCCCCACTCTAGCTGCCACCTCCAGACCCCACTCCTCCCCAGGGAACGCAGGCACCCAGCCTCCCCCCACGCCCCACCCAGGGGACCCAGGCGTCCG